CCCCCCGCCTGCTCCCAGCAGTGAGCAGCTGGCACAGTGAAGAAGATGATGAGTGGAAGGGAGGCTGAAGACAGGGATAGTATTTTAAGCCACTGCAGGCACTGTTGTCTCTAAATACAAAGTTGTATCCTGAGGTGGTAGTTAATGATAGCCACTAGTATTTTTGTTGCTGCTAAATATTCTTTCGATTAAGCTTTAATTTGGTTCAGCTTTTTGAAACTTTGATTCCCAGTGACTTGTGGTTTTCTCTGGGACCTGTCAAGTGTTGAAAGTCAAGTTTCTGAAAACTTCACTTTTTTTTATATGTGCACCTGAGTGTAATTTTGAATTTCTGTTTTTACTAAACGCTTGCCAGAACCAATGAAACCCCAGAAGACTTGCCTGGTGCTTATATTCTCAATAAAACTTGTGTCAAAACATTAAAACAGGTTTTTTTAAGGCACAGTAGTAAATCTTGTAACTGGGGCAAAAAGGTCCCCAACCTCAATTTTATTTATCTTTAAGAATTTAGACCGTTCTGGATCAACTGCTGCCTCACCCACAAACCAAGAAGCTTCATCTTCATCTTTGAACACTAGTGCAGATGGAGTGAGGCATCGTAATCTTCCACAAGCACAAAGCAATCCCATACCAAGCCACCAGGTCCCTTATTTAATGCACGGGTAAGTGAGATTGAAACAATCCTCAGCTCTTTGATACTCTTTAAATTACTTTAAATGTTCAGTTACAATCATGTTTCTTTCACAGTCTGAAAAATGATTTGGATAGTTCATTGTGAAGCAAAAGACACTTTAGAAACATTTTTCATATGCACATTAATGTTTTCAGCCAGGAGTCAGTCACAGAGTACGTGTTCTTGGTCATTCCCTTCAGGCTGAGGTTTGGGTTTTTTTCTTCTTTTTTTTCTTCATGCCTTCTGCCCTCAACTTTCTGTTGATAAGTGCAACTGTAATACTTACCTGGTGGATGGAGTTAGTAATGTAATTGATAAAGTTACTGCTTCTGGTTTCTTTTCCTAATTTTTTTTCTGGTTTCTTTATTATAATTGTCAGCACTAAATTCTTACCAGAATATGATGGTTCTTAGTTTTTGACACATAAGAGATGTAACTTTTCACTTCTCCGTATTGGATTCAACTGTACAAATGATATGGAGGTGTTTTGAGTAAATGTAAGTGCTTGTGTATCTACAACAGAATTTTAAAGTGTTTGCATACATACCAGTTAAATGTAACCAGTGTTCATTTCTAGATCAGATCTGTTATTACATAGCTTTTAAAATTCTGTCCTTTTTTGGGGGGGTGCTTAAAAAGGAGCTTTAAAAATTTTTAACTCATGTGACCTTTGTAGCTTCTTAAACTTTTTTTTTTTTATTTTCTTCCAAGGGAAAATGGAAGTATAGTGCATTCTCAGATTATAGCTGTCGCTTCCTCAGGGAATGCTTGCAAGATTTCTCTCTGACAAGGCACTCTCCCAGTACTGTGTAGATTCTGGAGATTTTCTTTGGAGAATGTTGAAACAAACAAACAAAAACCCTATGAACCTTCTAAGAGTTACAATTGTTTGTTACTGGAAAGAAAACAGATGTCAAGAACTGTTGAAAATTTTTATTTAGTTTCAATTCAATCTACATGTTCTCTTCTTCCTTGAGTTAACCTAGACTTTACTAGTCTTGCTAGTTTTCATTCTGAATTTCTTCGTCCTTTTTGTTTTTTATCTGGAATGTGCTGTCTGCTGGGAAGAAATTGCCTTTGCAATGGATGGAGCACTTACTGTGACCACAGGCAACCTTGCAGAAGTGGTTATACTTGCCTTTGTGACAAAGCAGGGTGACACTAGGTTGACGTCAAGACTGCTGTTCAGGATAGTGTCAATTAATTCCCAAAGCAATTTATTGTGTATTGTGTAAATTAGTAATCTGTGAGAAGTTTTAATGGTTTTCTAATTATCTTTCCATGTAAACATACTCTGAGAGTGGGTTTTTTGTCAGTAGGCATGGTGAACTGAGTAGGCTATGGACTTCAAAGAGGAAACAGAATCATTGTTGAGTCTTTTAGCTGAAATAATTAAATTAAAATACAGTGGGAGGCATCAGTTTGAAAGACATTACTGTCTTTGAAATAGAGAATAACTTAAAAATAATTAAATAAAAAGACAAAGTCTGTGTCTGTATTGGCAAGTAATGTGGATTGAGAAGAGTGGATCTGTAGACTGAAAGAAGTCCTGAGAACTTGATGTCAACACTGCACATATTTCAGGGGTTTTTTGTCTTATTTGGACTGCCTCTGGTTTGGTCACGTGGAATAGGTGCCTGTTTGTGGCAGAGGGGCATTAGCAGCACACCTAAATTACATCTCTCAATTTCATGTCATCCCAAAGGAATCCAGATGGTGATCCCACAGCATTCTGTGGTGCAAACACCACTGTAGTCAGAGGAAGTGACTGGAGATTTGCTTCGGAAGTGCATTGCTGATCTGAACAGAAATGCTAGAATAGATGAATCCTAAATAATCTTAGGCCTTACTCGTAAAAGTAATGTAATGGCACGCTATCAGAACGTGAGGTAGATCTTGTGGACTGCTCAGCGCTGGCTCTACTCAACTCCAAATAGTCCGTGCCAGTGCCTGCTGTAGTCTGCTTCCTTGAAAAACCCTTTTTAATGCTTTCAGTAATCTTCTTGGATGCATCTGGTTTCGCTTCAGGGCACTGCTACTTGTATTCCAGCAATAAGAAACACCTTCTGTGTTTTAGCTGCTGTCTTAAACATCATTTGGTGCAATAAAATCTAGCTTTAAATGTAATTGTTTATACACAGACTGAGACTTGTTAGGAACAATGAAGATTCGTAGCTGAAATTTGTGTTGCCTTGTGGATTTTTCTTACTGTTTCCTGACCAAACGCGTTTATTCTAGCTGCACGATGAACTGTAGGCTCTACTGATGGGGAAATGTCTCCAGATGTTTGAAAATATGCATGAGGGTCAGTTTTCTAGAGAATTTTGCAACACATTCATTAATAAAGTAATTTGTACAAATAAGTAACATGACTGTTAGGTGATTAAACGATGGTTTTGATAGATTTTCAGTTCCTGGCACAAAGCTTCAGCATCTAAGTTGTATGCCCTTTAGGAAAACAGCTAATTCAGATTGTTAAAATATTCCAGAGAAAGCAGTTTAAAACTTTCTGTTGCTTTCAAGCTTTTGTAAATGATGTTTTCTGGAACTGGGCAAATCATTTGTATATCTACCAAGTTAGTCTTTTGCCATGAAGAGCAAGCAGAGTGTTGTCTGCTCCTATGGAGACAGTCGTGCATCAGGGCCCCACTGTGCTAGGCAGGTACAAACAGAACAGATGGGCTCATTTCAGATTGGAGAGTACTTGGAAGCAGTAAACAGACAGGGAACATCAAAGCAGTGAGATTATTTGTCAAATGTGGGCAGCCCATCTAGTGAAATGTTTGTGTGTTGTGTACACAGTGGTGTTTTGAAAGCAAAGAACAAAATGACACCCTGACAGCACGCCGTATGTTCTAGCTCATAAATACCTTGCTTCATAGGTAGCCTTTGCTTCCTCTATTTTTTTATTTAAGTAGCAGATAGTGGAGGATGTTGAAATATCAGTTGATGTCTCAGGGTTATATGAGACAAACACTAAATGAGATGTCTTTGTGGGTCAGGGTCATTAAATAAATGCGGTGATTGTCAGTCATGCAGATGACAGATTGAGCTTTTAAGGCTGAATAAAAAGTCTTATTTTTCCACTAGTGGTGAGCAGTATCTTCATGACAGTAGCTAACTACTGACCTTACCCTCAAATTGAATCCTAATTAGCTTATTTTATGTGTCTTCAATAAACCCAAAGAAGTAATTCTGAGCTTTCTAGACATTTAAGGAGTAGCATGTCTCTTTCTTTTCATAATATTCTGAAGCTGCCTCTACCAATTGAACCTTAAAAGCTGTTTCCTGACTTAACTGTTCTTCTACTGTCTGCTCTGCTTTGTTCTCCAGTCTTGAAATGCATGTGCCTATCCAGTTTGCTTCTGTACTCTTGTGCTGTTGCTGCCATTCTTTTGAAATACTTTGCTTCCTGCCTCTTTCTCCTCCTTTTGGAAAAAGATGAGGAGAAAGCACATGCTACTCTCCTTTTTCTTCTAACAGCAAGCTAGCTTTTTTTGAGAAGAACCTCTTCCTTTGGAGAGGTTCTTCTCACTTAAATACATCAGTGTGTTTAGAGTTATTCCTGAATTTTGTGAGCTAACTTAATCCCTTGGCTGTATAATTGACAACATCTGCCTCTTTCTGATTTCTGATGAGCAAAAAAAAAACCCCCCAAAAACCAAAAAACAACTGCTGTGCTAATTGGCATTCTGAACCAGAAGCCAGTTCTTGAATATTGAGGTCTGCTTTTTCTCATTAATGGAGCCAGATCTTGCTAAGTCTTGCTTCTCAAAAAGTTCCGTCTCCTAGAAAAGCTGTTGGTAAAAAGGAGGAAAAAAAAAAAGGGGGGGGGGGGGGGAACAACCAAAACCACCAAAATGTTTGAATGGGAAGGAAAGAATATGCCATAACTGAAATCTTTTGTGGCTTGTCTTGGTTGACTGGTTTCTTAATCTACTATTAAGCATAAAGACGTCAAGAAAGCAACTTTTGAAAGAGTTTGGAAGAAAGTAGAAGCTCAGATCTCATAATATTTCTGTGAGGGAGAGCTATTAGCATCAGGCCTCTCAACTTTTGTTGAGCTCAGCTTAGCAGTTGTAAAGAACAACCCCCCTAAAATCTGTAACTGATAAGAAAAAGAATTAGTGAATTCATGCAGAAGTCTCTCAGGCAAGTTGGGCAGCGCTGCTTATTGGTGGTGACTGAGCTGGAGAAATAGGTGTGGTTGAACAGTGAGAGGTCCTGCCTGTTGGCATCTCCATGTCAGATTCCACCTGCTTGAAGTTGAGACGTTGCTCAGTAACTTGTCACAATGTAGTACTTAACAATGTGTGGGATATTTGAATCATCTCTATATTCTGAGGGTCAGAGTTTTATGAAATTTGGAGGAGTCGTATTTCTCAAAGCGTTTGCCTGTTCAGGGGATAGAAAAACACATTCTTAAAGCTTGCAGCCATAAATATAAAGGTATGATTGATGTTTTTCAATAGCAACTTGACAGCTTTGCTGTTCCAGCATGTTAATTATGCAGAAATAAGTAGCATCAGCAGGACTGCCAGTTCACTCCTGCAGTTTTTGCAGGAAACCTAGAGTATTGCCTATGATGATCTCAGTTTGTATGTGAAAGTAGCTTTTGCTTTTTTCTTTTTATTTTCCCCAAACTGTTGTCAAAACAGGTGATGACTAAATACAAACTTATGAAACAGTTTTAGCAGAGGTCATGGAGTTGCATGGCAGGCTCTTGTCCAGAATTACTGTGAAATACTTATTCATGTGTAACATGGGGGAAAAAAAATAAATAAGATTTTAATGTCTTCCTCCCATCTTTCTTTCTGGGCATGTCTTGTATATCTCAATGCCTGGTAGACTAATGAAATCTCTTGGTGATATCTTTGCAGGGAGTGCCTTACTTAGGGAACAGGTCTAGTCTGCAGTACAATTACAGCAGTCTCAGCTTTTGCTACCTGCAGTCTGAATAAACTTTTCTTCATACTTTATACTCTCATGCTGTCCTGAAAGATGTCCTGGTTTACTACAGTTCACTACATCCAAATCTCCCCCGAAAGAGTTGGAAATCTTGCCAAAACATGCTTTATGCTCTAGGAGGTAAGAGAGGCTAAGAAGTTTAAAAGCAGACAAAACCAAACCTAAAACTTATGTGTAGGAACTTTAAATCTCTTGCATGTGAAGCAGAGTTAAAAGCCCCTAGGGAGGAAAATCACTTATGCTCAAAATACTGAGGCGGGGTGGGAGTGGGGAGGTGGGAGTAAGTAATTTGCAGTGTTCTCAGTTGCCATCTTTCACAATCTGAAAGATAATTTTGTTGTCTGTGCTTGTGCGCATTTCTTCATGTCTTTGATCATAGTGGTGTTTCAGGTATTGCTTTTAAAAGAAAGCTATAGAAGATAGTAAGTTTATCCCTTTAGAGATCCTGCAGCACCTTTAAGGGGTGACCTCTGAAGTTAAAAGGAATTGCATGGAAGAATTTCTGCAGTTATACACACTTTTGAAAAACTTTCATTATGGTTTTGTCCCCGAGATGCAGCTAGTGAGACTTCTCAATACAAAAACATAAATCCTTTTTTTGTAGAAATATCTTTGCTTATTAATCTGTTGTATGAAAATACAGTGCTTTTATTGGAATGGGTTGTATGATCTCACTACGTGTTGTTTCAGTGTTATTTCAGTGCACTCTCGTACGGGGGCAAATGAAAGGAAAAATGCTACTTTAATTAGCTTTTAACATTAGTGCATTTTATAAATATGGCAATTTAGAACTGAATATTTTTGTTTAAATTCTTTTCTAGCAATATAGGCAACCAATTTCCAGGCCAAGGTGTTCCTGCTGGATTTTCTATGTATCCTGCATTCAGTCCCTTACAGATGATCTGGTGGCAACAAATGTATGTGCGTCAGTACTACATGCAATAGTAAGTCTGCATTATCTTGGGTACTACCGAGCTACACTAATGAAAGGAAGGAATTAAAAATTTACATGCTGTTTGCAGGATCAAAATGGCTGTGTTTATTTTGTCACTGTGCTGTTTTACACTAAGTTTTGTCCAGCAATTTATGAAATCTAATTTTGGATTGGAATTAAATTAATGTATCAATAGGTGAAGATATAAGGGGAAAATGCAGTTTGTTTTGATGTGTATTACACCTGAAACTTTGTTTTTATTCATGTAGAAAAGAAGATGAGAACAGGCTTAGAAGTTTTGGTGCGTGTTTTTTGACAAACCAGTTTTACGTTTACATTTTTAGCCAAGCTGCTGTCTCAGCCCAAGTGACTTCCAGCACTGAGCCAGCAAGATCAGCAGTTACCCAGGCTGTAAATTCAGAACGTGCTCCTGCAAATGAGCCTGCAGCAGTGCCAAATGTAGCCGTCCAGGAGAACAGGCCTGTCAACCCAAACATTCAGATGAATGCACAGGGTGGCCCGGTAGTGAATGAGGAGGACTTCAACCGGGACTGGCTGGACTGGATGTACACCTTCTCAAGAGCAGCAATCCTTCTGAGCATTGTATACTTCTATTCTTCCTTCAGTCGATTTGTCATGGTAATGGGAGCCATGCTGCTGGTTTATTTGTGAGTACAACAGTGGAGTACAGCTGCAGATCTGATCTGTGGTGTATGGTGCTAGCGTGTAATCCATTTAAACTGACAGATTATCCACATGCAAAAGTTTAGGCACTGTTCCTACACAGTATGTCGTGTGTTAAAAAAAAAAAACAAAACAAAACAAAAACTTCAAACAAGTTGAGAAGCCGATATGAAAAAAATAATTCTCAAAACATTTTTATAAAAAATCAGATCCCATTTTGTCCTGGTTGTGTTGTCCAGGATGTGTTTGGCTACAGGGTGCAAGCCAAAAGGGTGAATCCACCCAAAACACCACACACTTATACCTAATTAAATTTTCGTGATATTAGTATTGTAGAAATGTAGAATTTTGGGATGGAAATTTAGAAGGTGAGGGGTTCTTTGCAGTGAGGGTGATGGAGCACTGGAACAGGCTGCCCAGGGAGGTTGTGGAGTCTCCTTCTCTGGAGACATTCAAGACCCGCCTGGACGCCTTCCTGTGTGATCTCATTTAGGTTCCTGCTCCGGCAGGGGGATTGGACTGGATGATCTTTCAAGGTCCCTTCCAATCCCTGACATTCTGTGATTCACACAGGTCAAGCATAAGCTTGCATAAACTTAAAACAACTTATTTGCTTAAATTTATTTTCATAAACTTAAAACAACTTAAAACCAATTTATTGCTTGGTTATCAAAGGGAAATGACTGAGCTAAGCTCATTTATATTTCAAAAATAATGTATGTGACTTGTGCAGTAAATTGTGTTGGGCAGAGTTAAGGTAGCGCTGCTGTAACTGTGGATATGAGATCTGGTAGAATTGCAGGGACTTAAATTTTTTTACAGTGCATCATAAAAACCTAAGCACACTTTTTGTTTTACTAAGAAATACCCATCCTGTTGTAATCACTTCCCTTTTTATATGAAAATAACTTGGTGATGTAAATAGAAGTGGAAAACAGCAGTAATGCTTGATATTTTGGACTGATGTCATTCATTGTGTTTCCTTACATTGTAGACTCAGTCCTCACAAGGATTGGTCTGTTTCTCATGCAGATATGATAGTTGAAATCAGAATATAGACACTTGAAAACATAGGAGAGGCTTCTTTAATTTCCAGTGTTAATGTGGTTCAAGCCTTAGGTGAAGTTTAAATTGTTTTTTCCATGGAAAATCAACTTTAAACTATGAACATTAAGGCTGCTTTTGAAAATTAATGTAACTTAAGTACTTAAAAATGGGGAGGAGACCCAAAAAAAAGTATTCTACATATTTATTCACCTAATCATGGTAAGTTGCTCATTGTCTGGAACAGGGGGCTGTGAACAGCACTTCTGAAACTTAAAGAACAGCTCTTACCAAGACCCTTCTTAACCCAAACATCAAAGAATAGCCATTTGATCTAGAAGTGAGACTTGCAGAAAATACATGTAGCGTCATTCATTTGGAAGTACTTGAAGAGTGTACTGCAGTAGTTAGGTGTAGCAGAAAAATCTTTTTCTTCCTTTCTGAAGAGAGGTTTTGAGCTGTTGCATTTTCTTACGTAGACACCAAGCTGGATGGTTCCCCTTTAGGCAAGAAGGAGGCCAGCAACAGGCAGCCAATAATGTGGAAGTGAATCGTGATGGGCAACAGGCAAATAATCCTGATCTTGAAGAGATGGTGAGTAAGAGCAGATGTGTCTCTTGAGATTACTGTGTATTATATTGTAAAGTGTGCTGTAATGCCTGGACAGAAAGGCAGAATTTATGAAATGTAGTCAGTTTAACCAGAAAGCTTTCAGTGATGTCTTCAGTATTGTGCCTGCTGTTTAAATGCTGTATTTTTCCAGTCCAACAATTACTGATTTGACTCTAATTCAATCACAGACTTTCTTCATGCTAATTATTCTTCAGGAGATTGTTCTGAGAGGAGTACTTAATGTAGGAAGATACTGCTGGTTACCTTATGTCAGAGCTCGGAAAAGCAGCAGTTGAATTGCTTCAATTTCTGTTTTTAAAGGAGCGACTTATGGATGATGGGATTGATGAAGACAGCGGAGAAGATGCAGGTGAAGATGCCAATACAGAGCAGCAGCCTGGATTCATGGCCTCTGCTTGGTCCTTTATCACAACCTTCTTCACATCACTCATCCCAGAAGGGCCTCCACAGGTTGGCAATTAAAAGTGGAAAAGGAACTGTGTCCAGCAGCCTCAGTAGCCATATGTAGAAGTGGAGCAGATTCTAGAGAGTGTTTTAAATACAGTGCAATTTCTGAAAATTTATAATGTTATCTTTTTTGATCATGGTGTACAAAAATGTGTATTTTTTTTTTCTTTTGGCTTTCTCATGTATTGAATATTTTAAGCACAAGTGGACTGCTAAATGCTTTCTTTAAGATTCTTCTTTTTCTGAAGAATAAAATGTAAAGATACTGGTCTTCCATGTTTTATTTTAATTTCAGATGTGTATTATACTGAGGCAAAAAGCTTGTACTTATCTGCACCATTACCTCTTTAAAGAGCTGTTAAAAATATGAATGTTGACCTTTCCAAATGCTGTCTATTCATCTGAATAATGTATCTTGTGTTAGTTTTATGCAGGATATGAATTATCACTTGGGATTTGCAGTTTATATCATTCCTGAAAGAATGCTGTAAATGCAAGGATTACTTGTTAGTGGCATGTTGTCTTCATGCCACAAAATACTAAGCCTCTTCTTGTACATTTAGAAAGGTAAAAGCTTTGTTTTGAGGCTATACTGAAGTTAAATAAAGTTGGAAATGTTTGACAGCTCTTCAAAGACAATTGACAGTGATGGGATAAACCTTAAATGTTTGATACATACAGTACTTTTTAAGAAAAATATAGCTGTACTGGGGAAAAAAAAAACAACCATGTACATTAGGGTTTTTTTAATAAAAACTGTTATGGTAACTTTTGGATGTTTACATGCATATTTGAATGCAAACAACTAAAAAGTGCAGCATTAAGGGTGAGGATACGATTGGTTTGAGAGTGGAATAAAGTTATCATGGTGGCATTACTGATACTGACTAAAGTGGTACGTTTGTAGCAGTGCATACAATTATGGGTATGATCTCAACAGCAGAGTGTCTGTATTCTTAATTAACCTAATTAAAGCTGAGAAAAGGAAAATTGTACATGAGATAGTAGCCCAGTGCTACTGTCAGGTTTTCGGTTGCTTTCTTTAGATTCGAATCATAGTCAAGAAGTTACACTTCCTAATTCTGAAGTTACGTGCTATCTAACTTAAAAATGGCTGCGAAGATTCTGTTATACAACTGAAGCTCTGCAGTAAAGTTTTAAATCTTAGAAAATTTTCTTTGGGTTTATACTTTGAAACATGTCAGGATTTCTAGGCCTTATTGAAAGTTGACTCTCAATTGGAAAAAAACAAATTTGAACAATGGTTTTAATTTAAACAGCATAAATAGAATGTTTTTTGCATTACAAAATAATTCTCATAAATCTGTCAGAAGAGGAGAAATATAAAGGTAAGTCTTACAGGTGTCAGTTATTTGCTGTATAGGCAGCCATGATGAATAAATGATGTTTAGTTATGAAGTTTTACTCTTGTGTTACTATGGAGAGCTGTTCTCAATTTAGGTTACTACATCAATCTAAGATGTGTAGATCTTGTCCAAGAAATTGTATCCTTTCAATTTGGTGGATGGATCTAACTTGACTAACATAGAATCATACAGAACTATAGAATGGTTTGGGTTGGAAGGGACCTTAAAGCTCATCCAGTTCCAACCCCCCTGCCAGCAGCAGGGACACCTTCCACTAGACCAGGTTGCTCAAAGCCTAAGAAGTGTTACAAAAACTTAATTTTTTAAAGGAATGGCACAGAGGCTTGGATGTTCTAAGATTTCTTTCTGAAGTATATTGAAGAGTTTTTGTCTATTTGACCTGTGTTCTCCCTCCTACTTTCCCCAAAAGTTCATTTTTCTTTTTGTCCTGGGTATTTGTAACCTGTGCAGTTACAACCTAGTGGTATCCAGCTACTAAAGGGTGTTAGTTGCTTCTTGCTGTCATTGTTTAGGTGTCTGTGGTTTTCTTTGCCATAGGAAGCAGTCGGTGGTAGCTCTCTGCTGTTAGCAGACTAAGAAAGCAGCTCTTATGCTGTTAGCCTTGATTTGGTTAAAAAGCACAGAGTTGTCACTGCTTGTTTGTATTCAAACAAGGAGAAATTTGTTTAACCTTACCAGGATCTAAGCAAGGAAAAATGAAAAGATGGCTACTGAGGAAAATGAGTGAGAAATAAAAATGAGAGATGAAGCGTTACCAAAAAAAATAGTGAAAGCCAAGGGGAGCAGAGATAAGAGATGGTGTGATGATGAGTAAGTATGAAGCAAACATCAAGGAGCAGATTGAGGCAAGAGGTGCATTTTTTTCTTTTCAGACAAGCAAAAACTTCATAAAAATTAGTCAGATCAAGTCTGTTTTATGAGTTTCTGAGCAGCTCAGATATAGAATTGAACAGCATGAAACATGTAAGGGGTGATGATGGAATAGAAGTGAAAACCCCAGGAAAACAGTTGCTTTTTCTTAGTGTATCCTTGTGGGAACTGTTCTATAGCATAAACCAAAACACAATTATGTAGTACATGGCGGTAGGTGAAGCTGAGATCCTGAATTGTGGCAAATCTGTAACACAAGGTGGAACAGAAGGCATGAGGATCAAGGCAGCATAGGATGTGCCCCAGTATTAGTGGTTCTGTAGCATACCTGTGCATCACCCACTTTCACAACTTTGAATGCAGAAAAAGTGATTAAAATTCATCCTTTCCTTTGCCTTATAGGAAGACATAAACTGACAGATCCCCTACATTCAGAGGAGGCCGGTGTATCTAATAGCAAACCTATGCCAGCACATGCAACAGCTTCACAGTGTGTAAAGGCAGAGACAGTCACACCAGAAACAGACACGAGATCGCAGAACATTCCATCCATAACACTACTTGCTATGCAGGGACAGATGAGGTCAGCAGGACTGATGGAGCAGGTGTATGAAAAGAGTAACATACAGCTGCTCTTTTGCATGATCTCTCAATATACTTTAAAAAATGTCCTTGGCCAGTGCTGTGCGCCTCTGTGTATATCTGCACTGACCTCTTGACGACACATTGCACTGAGACTTGGTTTGCAAACGTGTATATCAGAAACTCAAACTGGAGAATTCTTGGGTGCGAAATAATGGTCAAAGGGATCCTTTTTCTACTGCTGACTTCTGAGCTCACAGGCTCTTCCTCATGCTAGTGTTTGGTTTGGAGACCTTGACAGGCACCATTGGCTTTCCAGTTGCTCCCTGTTGCCCTTAAAGGCAAGTGACTCCTAGAGAAATTATCACATGGTACTTCAGAAAAAGGCTGCTTCTGTGTCAGGTGTACCCTGCTACCTTCTTACCACTGATGCAGCAGAAGGGAAAAACCAAACACCCAGCATTGTGTGTGAGGTTTGTAATAGTCACAGGTGGTGCAAAATCACTTTGTTCTGTGACGTGGTGTGACTAACCATGTTTCTGCTGCTTGTTTCTCTACAACCTAAAAGTGTTCTAATGTAAACATTTTTTGTGGGTTTTTTTAAGCAGCCTTTGCTATTGGGAGGAAGCAGTTCAGAATTTACCCCAGCACAGTGATTGTGAACTCTGATCTGTTTTTTTCTGGGTGTGTGTAGATGGGCATTCAGAGATACAACTGCAGCCTTGTTCATGAGGTTGCAGGCTACTCTGGTGCTGCCAAAGAATCCAGGGTGATGCTGTGTTACTTCATGCTGCTGCAACTTTGATGTTGCAGGTGTTCAAGTCAACTAAATTCCTGCCAGTGTGGCTTTGCCTGTGGGTGATGCACTGTTCTTTCAGATTATGGTGTTAGTTAGTTAGTATAGGTGGGATGACGCAAACTGAACGAGTTACTTTATCACTCACAGCCCTTGTTTGCTCAAAGCTGCTGTTTGAGTAACAAGATAATCAAAGGTAATAAATAGGTTTAATCATGATTCCCACTCCAAAAAAAGGGGATTCAGCCATTCTGCATGGCAGTGGCTCTGTGTGAGTGCTAGTACCTGTTCAACTACTGCCAGGTAGGAGACAGCTTCTTGCTCTCTGTTAGATTTGTTCACTTGCAGCTGTCTGTGCAAGGTTTTGCTTTTGAAAGAAGCCGAGGTGACTGCTGTGGTATGGACTTACTCATAAGACAATCTGCCCAGTAGCACTGGTTGGAGAGGAGGGAAGCACATACTGGACCTGAAAACTATCCATAAAAAGACTGGTTAACTTACTTTATCTTCCTCCCCCTCTGCTCTGCCCTGGTGTGGGCACATCTGGAGTATTGTGTCCAGTTCTGGGCCCCACAGTTCAAGAAGGACAGGGAACTGCTTGAGAGAGTCCAGCATAGAGCCACCAAGATGATGAAGGGAGTGGAGCATCTCCCTTATGAGGAAAGGCTGAGGGAGCTGGGGCTCTTTAGCTTGGAGAAGAGGAGACTGAGGGGAGACCTCATTAATGTTTATAAATATGTAAAGGGCGAATGTCAGGAGGATGGAGCCAGGCTCTTCTCACTGATGCCCAGTGGGAGGGCAAGGGGCAATGGGTGTGAGCTGGAACACAGGAGGTTCCGCTTAAACTTGAGAAAGAACTTTACGGTGAGGGTGCCCTGGAACAGGCTGCCCAGGGAGGCTGTGGAGTCTCCTTCTCTGGAGACATTCAAAACCCGCCTGGACGCCTTCCTGTGTGATCTCATTTAGGTTCCTGCTCTGGCAGGGGGATTGGACTGGATGATCTTTCGAGGTCCCTTCCAATCCCCAACATTCTGTGATTCTGTGATCTTAGAATTTACCGAGGGTGGTGTCTGGTGGGAGAACACCCAAGCTAAACAGTATTTCCATTTCTTTACTGAGACATTAATTTGTGCTTGTTTTAGAGCTTTATACTTGGTTTAAACAACATGAGTGCGTGTTGCTGTATAACAATACATACTCTTATCTTTCACTGATGTGATTTTACAGTGTGAGTTTTTGTCAGGGCCTGGGCTGGTGAAACAGATGTGCAGTGATTCTGTTAGTTTCTTTGTTTAAACTTCAATTTAATGTTTTGCTCTGTGGGGCTTAACAGCAGCATAGTTATGTACCACTTCAGTAATAAAGCTGATCCTAAGGTTTTTTCAAGGCTGTGGGAGGAGTAGAAAGGAAAGAAGGATTATATTCCTAGAATTTAATTCAGCTTTCTCATGAAACACCAGGTGATGTTAACTGGTTTTCCTTATCCTCACATAGTTTTAGATGTCCTGGGAATGAACTGCAACTGGTCATTTTTGGAGTAGGCAGCTTAGAGCAGGGCAGCTGTAATTGTAGTTTGCATCTCACGGTGGTGAGGGGGGAATGTGTGTGTAAGTGGGACAGAATTTACAGAAAGACTGTTGACATGTTTTCCTAACTTAGCAGAAATCTGGGGAGGGGGAATCTAGATGTGAGGGGTTCACGGGATGGAAGTAAATTGAGTTGTGGGTAATTGAATTTTTAAAATTTGGGGGTTTTTTGACTGTCTATGTGTTTTCTTTGCCCCTTTGGAAAGACTGTACAGACCTTAACTACTGCTTGGAAAGGATAAGCCAAAACCTGGGGGGTTTTTTTGTGTTAAAGTTGACGTGTCTGGATGGGTTTTTGAAGTGTTTGTGTTAGTGACCTGCTGCGGGGTTAAACTGTAGTAAATTAAATAACCACAGTGCTGCCTTGATGCTCCAGTTTGTTAACCAGAGATAATTAAGGGAGTGAGTAACAGACAA